TCCTGGGAATGTGGCTTAGTAGTAGAGTGCTTGCCTAGCATGCATGAAGCCCTCTATTCGATTCCTCAGTACCACATAAACAGAAAAGGCTAGAAGAAGTGCTATGGCTCAAGTGGTAGAGTGCTAGCCTTGAGCAAAAGAAGCTCAGGGACAGTGCCCAGGCCCTGAGTTCAGGCCTCAGGACTGGCACAAAAAAAAAAAAATTCATTGGAGCTGGGTGCTGGTGGCTCATACCTATAATCCTAACTACTCAGGAGGCTGAGATATGAGGATGGTGTTTCAAAGCCAGCCCAGGCAGGAAAGTCCATGAGACTCTTATCTCCTGTTAACTACCAGAAAACTGGAAGTGGCAATATGGCTCAAGTGGTAGAGCACTTGCCTTGAGCTGAAGAGCTGAGGGACAGCGCCCAGACCTAGAATTCAAGCCCCACAACTGACAGAAAAAAAAAAGTCCTTGGAGAAGCCTGCTTTTTAATAACTAAAGAGTCACTGGGTATCTCTGTGTACTTGATGTGGCTCATCAGAAGCCCTGGCCTTTTCCTCCAGCTCTCAGTTTTTAGGTTTTGGTTTGGGAAAGTGATTTGATCAGTTCACTTTGCCTCTTAGCAATTCATTCAATATGAAGACAGTTGTTTCACTATTTTTCTTTTTTATTGAAGAAAATAAATATGATTTTAAGGACTATACTTCACATACTAGGAAAAATACAAGGTTTTCCTTGTCTTCTCTGTGGTCTCCCCATATCCCTGCTTTCAGCCATCAATATTCAGAAATCTAGTCCTGGGGAGACCCCAGCTCCAGTTCAGTGGGCCAATAAGCACACTCCATCCTCTCTTCCCCCTGGATGCACTCAGAATACCCTGGGCAGAATAAAGGGAGCAACATAAAGGCAGATGGTAGCAGGCAGACTGGGGAAGGAAACTGGAATGCTAAGGATGAAAGATGTAGTCTTAATTTTCCCATTTTGCCTTTGTTTTGTTTTTCACTCATTCCTGCCCAAACTCCAGAGGAACACAAATCCCATGGCTACACTGGCTGCAAAGACAGCATCTCCTTTTTCCAAGGAGACAAACCAGGAGAATTCTCCCCTCCCACACACTTTTTTTTTTACTACTCTGGGGACATTTAGAATTGTAGACTTTTCCTGTGTATAGCCTTTTTTTTATTGTAAAGGTGATGTACAGAGGGGTTACAGTTATGTAAGTCAGGTAATGAGTACATTTCTTTTTGAACAGTGTCACACCCTCTCTCATTTTCTCCTAGTTTTTTCCCCTCTGACCCTTCCTCCTTCTCAAGTTGTATAGCTTATTTCCAACATAGCTTCTAGTGAGTATCACTGCTGAATTAGCTCACCCTTTTCCCCACCATTTCTGTGCCTCTCTTTCCCTCCCCAAATCAGGTAAATTTACATACAAGACAAATTGTACAGAATCAAATATGGCGACAAAAGGGAAAAACAGCAGAAAAATGAAGAAAGTAAAATAACTCCACTTGTTGGAGTTCATTTTGATAAGCATTTGATGTGATCTTATGTACATAGCTATTGGGCCCTTGTGATCCTTTCCTAAGGATATCCTCCCTTGGTCTCACTGTATGAATGTTTACAGTCCTGTTTAATGGTGTCCAAGTGTAATTTTTTGTCTTTTACTATCCATTGGCTTGCAGATTTATAGGCACAATCTAATTATTACAAATGAGAGAACTCATCCAACCCATGTTTCTTTGGGTCTGGCTTACCTGGCTTAATATATTTTCCCCCAAGTCTTTCCATTTCCTTACAAATGGGGCAATGTCATTCTTCGTGATGGAAGCCTAGAATCCCATTGTGTAAATAAATCTGTGTATAGGCTTTTGAAACAAAATTTTGTCAAATATTTTTTGTTTTTCTTTTTAATAGAGGAAAATGTTTATAATCTAAACTTCCTATATAGCATTGTAAGCTTATTTTTTAATGATTTATTGGACATTTACAAAATAGTTATTCAACAGTATAAGGTTATGGTACTTAAATTGCTAGAAAAACCATGATGGTGTTCCCCCCTCCCAGCCTGAAGATTTTGCCAGTGGTTTTAAGTACATCCTATCCACATGGTAGATGAGGAAAAGGAGGCCTTTAGGATGGTTCACAGAGCTAATCATTGGCAGAGCCATGATTTTAACCCTAGATGTCTCCTGCCGGGTCCACTGTTCCCAGCCACTCCTTTCACCTTGTCCTCACGTTGAAGGCCACTGTATTTCTTGTCATTGATGCTTTCTTTTTATTTTTAAGCTTTGCTAGCTTGACCTGGGGAAACACGAGTTCCTGTTATGTTACTTTTATGTACATTTGTTTAATGGAGCTTTTGCCTCTATTTTGTCATGCACATCCCATGAGACTTGATACATTTGTTTCCTGAGTTTGTCTAATTTTACTCGATTTTCTGTGTCCTATGTACGTGACAAAGATGTCACATTGTCTCTGCTGCAGTTGTTTTATAATTTGTTTTGCACTTTGCTCTTTAAACATAATTTAGATTTGTTGGGTAGCTGTAAACAACTGTTCTCTTTTTTGATTAGCCAGTGAGATGGAAGAGACTTTCCCCTAGCAAACACTGGCAAGCATGGGAAGGTATTCCTAAAAGAAAGCTCAGGGGTTGAAGACACCTGTAAGGAATGCTGCGCTGTATTTGTGCTGTTTTCCTCAGTGCCATGTGTATTTCATAGTTTCTCTCTTGCACTCAATACAGTTTTCTCCAATTCCCCAAAGAGATGAAAATTATGGGGTGTTGTTACCTTGGGGATATAATTTACAGTTTTCAAAACACAAGAGCATTCAGAAGGATAATTTGATTTGTTTGTTTGAGGTCTTGAGATTGAACCCAGGTCCTCAGGTATGCCAGGCAAGTGCTGTATTACTAGGCTATACCTCCATACCCCTAGAAGGATAACCTGAAAAAATATATATAATCTGAAAGCTACCCAAAGGATTTTTGGTCATAATTTTCTACTATGTATTATCCATTATGATGACAGAACTAGATCAAGATTTTAATTTGAAACTTTAGAAAAAAATTATCATGTATCTGTAGACACACAATTAAAAAAATAAAACAGACCTTTCAAACTTGTGATTGAGAATTAATGGTCTCCTGACCTGACCTTATTGTCATTCCTATTGTAGTTTTCTACTTCCTTCTACACAATAGAACCTTGTGGTGTTTGCCACCCTATTGCTATATTGTCAACTCCTTTTATGGATCTTATAGTTTACTACTTTGTAAGTGACATGGATATATTGCTTATTGTTACCCTGTAAATTTTATTGTGGGCTTTTTCTGTTGTTGACTTTCTGCTGCAGGAAGTAAGGATTTATTAATGTCCTGAGTCTTTTATCCTGTTCCTAGCTTTTATTGTTGCTTTATTTTGTTTTTTTGAGACAAAATCTTACTATGTAACCCAGGCTGACTTCAAACTTGAGATCTTCCCACTTCAGTCTCTACGGCTTCAACTTCTTATCTGTCTTTCCTTTATAGTTCTCTGTCCTCTATTTAGGTCAATATTCAGGGCCTACATTAGTACAGTTCTGTAAATGCTATTCACAGCAAAACCATGTCATTTCCTATAATTATTTATTCTTTTCTCTGCAATATTTTGTTTCCTGTAGAGTTGGTAATTGCCTTGCTTCTTTTCTTTAGAGGTTTTCTATGTCTCTACTCAGCCTCAAGCTGTGGTTGTCGGTTCAGATAGAAGCATTGAGTATTTCTTTTGTCTCATTCCTTGAAGCAGTTTTTCCAGAGTGGTTGGGCTCCTACTTTGTAGCTCATATAGATAACCTCTGCAAAGCTCTTCAGCTCTCCCTTTATTAGCAACACAAAGACAACTTTATTCCTTTCTCTGTTTACTCACTTGCTTTCTAGAACATACCTTCTAATTCAGTTTATCTTGTAGTTTATATTTAGGTATAATATGGCGGGAGTGGAATTCTAAGTTGGAGATGATATTTTTTTCAGATTTGCTTTCGATAAACCTGATTCTAATGATATATGATAGAAAGCTCCTTTCTCCTATTGTACTGGGTATCTAGGGATCCCTTTAAACTGAGAAGTTCATATTCTCTGGATGTATTTTGCAGCCTGATGTCCTTAACTAGAAATCATGATTTTCTTTTTGTAATGTGTTTTTATGTAACAGGTGTAATGTGTTTTCTTAAAGCTGTAACAGTAGCAGTTAGAGTTTGAAAAAGGATGCTGGTGATTAAATTAGTCAACTAGAATTTAACAGGGTTCTAAGAAGCATAAAGAACAATCACACATTTTATTTGACAGAGCAAATAGAAGTTAAATTGAAGGAGGTTTTAAGCCATGTATCAGCTCAAACTTACATCGCAGGCAGATAGATTGATTTATACACTTTCTTCTGCTCTTGTTAAGAGGAACATCATGTGGCACTCGCCTAATTTCAGGAGTCTTGAGGCACCTCCTACTGAGTGCCTTTCCTGCCTATGAATACCCCATTCTCCAGCCTCCTTAGTGAAGGTAATACAACAGCAAAAACAATGGCAAAACGCATGTCTAATTTTTCATAAGAGATTTAAACTTTCTTTTTCCAAATTGGCAGTTATTATTAAGTCAGTCTTCCTCTATTAGTATCACTTTTAATTTTTTTAATGGGATTAGGACTGGTGGCTCCTTAGTGGTAGAGCACCTAGCTCGCTTTTGCGAGGACAGGGTTGAATCTCTTAAGTGTGCAAAAGAAAACTTGAGCAAACATCTGCTGATGTTTACTATTAAAATGTTCTAACATCTAAGGATAGCACCACAGTTAAATGACTCAGCCCTAGGGCCACATTTTTTCCAGGAGCTGACAGTGGAATGTTACATTGAGTGGGGAAAATTTTCATGGGTGGGGATTTTGTGTGTTAACAAAACCTTATTCTGGATAAAATAGTAATAAATAATAATCACAAATAGCAAACATTCATTTAGGCTAATAATAAGCCTTGTTTTCTTCTTTCCCACCAGCTTTTTGGGGACTGGGAAGCCCAAGTGCGGAGAATAATGAAACTCATTGCTGGAGGAGGCTTATCTATCACTGGCTCTCACAACATGTGCGGGGACTATCTGTACAGTGGCCACACGGTCATGCTGACACTCACCTACTTATTTATCAAAGAGTGTAAGTCGAACTCAGCCTTCATTTTCTCACCTGCTGTTTCCCATGGTTTACAGAAACCTCCAGTGGCTACTGGAGGCCTCATCTCATCACAATGCCTGGGAAATGGGCTGGCACCTGGGGAAGGGACCTAACAGTGCTTATGTCCAACACTATTAGGTTACGTCATGGTGTGGAGGGATACAACAATGCTGCTTACAGACTATGTGGAGGGTATCTTGTGCTTGGATACTGTCTGTAGTGCTGGATGAAAGCAGTTTCTAGGGCATGTTAGGAACCAGTGATAGACCTGCAAAGGAACAGAAATCCAGCCTCAAGCCTGGCTAGAAGGTAGAAGATGATCATATACTGGCTCAGCAGCACTTTTTTAAAGCACTTGACAGAGTGCTCGCCGAGGGCATGGTGATGGCTCAGGTGATGTCTCTGCTGTCACATAAGCCAGGGGCTCAGGGTGAAGCAGACACTAAATGGGAAATTTACTTTAAGGAACACATTTAAAATACTTTATGTGAAACAAAATACTATAGATATTCCTCTGTACTGCTTGGAGATGATGGATGGATGGATGGATGGATGAATAGATAGATAGATAGATAGATAAATAGATAGATCTACTAGCATTTTTGCTAAATTGGCTTCACATACCCTCTTAAAAAGAAAATAAGGACTGGGAATGTGGCTTAGTGGTACAGTGCTTGCCTAGCAGGCATGAAGCTTTTTAGGTTCGATTGCTCAGTACCACATAGAAAAAACCAGAAATGGTGCTGTGGCTCAAGTGGTAGAATGCTAACCTTGAGCAAATGAAGCTCAGGGGCAGTGGCCAGGCCCTGAGTGCAAGCCATAGGACTGGCAAAAAAAAATTATTAATATGTGACTAAAATCTTTCCACCCTTCCTCTTTGCCACTTTTCTGTATCATTTCCATTATGTTTTTGCACTTAAGAATTATCGTTTTTGAGGTGGGAGATTTGGCTCACTAATTTCATTGCTAATGGTATTTCAGTACTATACCTGAACCAGTATTTCTCTACTTATATAAAATTCAGTTATCCTTAATATTTTCCTGCTAAGAGCAGGCAAGTGAGCATTATCAAAGCAGTTCCTATGAATAGTATAACACTTGACCACTGTGGTTTATCAGAAGCAGGATGGTTTGCAGTTTGGAGGTATATGGGGAGCACTGTGGCACTATCTAGATGGTTATCTGGTTGGCATTCAGACTGAGGAAAATAATGAGAAATGAGAATGGATAGAGTAAATAGAAAGCAGAACACAGAGGGTAGAGGGTTCAATAGAGCTTCTATCTGATGGAGATGGGCTGTCTCTCCAGGGACTGGAACCAGGATGTCAAGTGTTCATGTGACTGGACCTTCATTAAGGGAGAAAGCACTTTACAACAGTTTGCATGAATGAACCAGTGAAGGACAAGACTGGAGACCAAGAAAGTTAGGTGATTGGCTGCTGCTATAATCAAAGCAAGAGACAGTGGAGTTTAAACTATCATGATGGCACCATGGTGGAGGAAAAGGCAGAGACTCCTGAGAAACATTAATGAAGAATCAACAGATAATACAAAACAAGAGGGATTATGGGGTAGAAGAGAGAAGTGGTGGACTGGGGAAAGCCTAACTTTGGTTTTGAACACTAAGGCATGGAAAAGATGTACCAGAGGACACTAAAAGAAGGGAGACTGGGTATTGTTACTATTTTTTTAGTGCATTATCAAATATGGTGAATTCTAGCATGATCTAGTCCTTGAACCAAATGTAACTGGGTTTAAAAAAAAATAAGACTAAGCTCCAGTGGTTCACGCCCATAATCCTACCTATTCAGGAGGCTGAGATCTGAGGATTGCAGTTCAAAGCCAGCCCCAGTAGGAAAGTCTGTGAAACTCTTGTCTCCAATAAACCACCAGAAAAGCAGAAGTGGTGCTGTGGCTCAAGTGGTAGAGTGCTTGTCTTGAGCTGAAGAGATGAGGGACAGCACCCAGGCCCAGAGTTCAAGCTCTACAACCCACCAAAAAAAAAAAAAAAAAGCCTGAGGTCATTTGCCAGCAGCCCTGAGGAAGAGCTTACTAACCTCTTCTGGTCGATACCTGGAATCTTTTAGTGATATCAAGGCTTTTTCTTCTTGACAATAAGGCACTGTGACATGTTGGGAAATGCAGAAGCTGTGGGTCACAAAAATGCTACTTTTGAACCCTCATGCTATCATTTCTTAACTCTATAACCCTGGGAAAAAATTTTAACCTCTCTATATCTTTGTTTCCTCAAATTTATGATGATCTCTTACTTCAGGAATGGGAAAAATATTATGAAAATTAAAATACATGGTATATACAGATACTGAGTTACACAGAAAAAGAATGGTAACTGCTATTGTAATGGTAAGATATAAGAATAAAATGATGGAATACATCATGACTCTAAGTGCTCTGTTTAAAATTGCAAAACTGCCCTTCACTCCCTCTCCTTACGATCCCTCTTATCCTGCTCACTTTCATTTCTCATAGCCTTCAACACCTTCAAGTACAGCATACAACTTACTGGTTATTTCCCTTCCTTTCTAAGAAGGAATCTCCCCATTAGAGGATGGCCCTTTTTAGACTTTATGCATTGACCCAAGTACCAAGAACAATACCTGTCCTTGGTATATGGTGAATTTGTGTTGAATGTTTGACTGATTCTTGGACCTCTTGAGAATTCAGTCAAAGCTGAAACCTTCTCAGCTAATGTGGGGAGGGTAAATCCAATCAAACTCTTTGCCTGAAAGTCCAGATCCTCTGTGAACTCCTACCCACTGAGAATGCAAGGTAGAAAGAAAGGCCCTTACTAATAGAGAATCCCCTTGGGTGACTCCCCAGATGAAGTACAGACTAGTATTTATGTGATACTGCCCTATCTTTGGGGCAACATTTGGAGCAGAATTTCCAGGTGTTCAATTTCCCTTTTATTTGTGTTTGAGAAATAGAAGTTAAAGGTTTTCAAATGATCATACAGTTACAGAACATAATGTAATTCAGATACTTAAATATCAGTTGTCATTTCATGGTCCATATATAAAGGTCTCTGATTTTGAATAGAGTATTAACCCCAAATGAGCAATAGGTAATTTATTTTTTTATTTTTATTTATTTTTTGTCATGGGGCTTGAACTCTGGGCCTGGGCACTGTCCCTGACCTCTTCAGCACATGGCTAGCACTCTTCCACAGTGCCAGTTTTCTGGTGGTTAATTGGAGATAAGAGCATCTTGGTCTTTCCTGCCTAGACTGGCTTTGAACTGCAATCTTCAAATCTCAGCCTCCTAAGTAGCTAGGATTATAGATGTGAGCCACCTATCCCTGGCTTGAAATTTAAATGATAATGGAAGGTTTTTTATAAATGGAGCATAATGTATTAAATTGTCCTTATTGGATTAGATTCGTCTTTCAAAGTGCATTTATGATTATGAGAATCAAATCATAGCCAAATACAGTTAGTGTTAATAGTAAAATCACTTAAAATAATTCTCCATTACAGTGCAGTGGCTCACACCTATAACCCAGTTACTTATGAAGCTGAGATCTGAGAATCGTGGTTCAAAGCCAGCCCAGGCAGGAAAGTCTGTGAGACTCTTATCTCCAATTAACCACCAGAAAACTGGAAGTGGAGCTGTGGCTCAAAGTGATAGAGAGCTCAGGAACAATGCTCAAGCTCTGAGTTCAAGCCCCATGACCTGATAAAAAAAGAAAAAAGAAAAATTATCTCCATTCTAACCTCAGTTACAAATTAAGCAACCTCCCTTAGGAGATTGGGTTCAGAAGTTCTGCAGCAGATGTACAAGGTGGCCTTCGTGTTGTTTTAACAATGGGACTATGGAAGATTTCTCTGCCTTTCAGATTCCCCTCGACGACTCTGGTGGTACCACTGGATTTGCTGGCTTCTTAGCGTCATTGGGATCTTCTGTATTCTCTTAGCGCATGACCACTACACTGTGGATGTGGTGGTGGCGTATTACATCACCACAAGACTCTTCTGGTGGTATCACACAATGGCCAATCAGCAAGTGAGTTTCTCCCATTTGATTTTAATTTCTGTGGTCCCTAGCTTGGTATTTCTGGGTTGGACAGGGATAAGAGGCAGAGAAGACAAAAGATTTCTTCTTTAAGGGCAGTCAGCTAAGATTGTGTTGCCTTGAAACACTGATTCTCTTACTATCAAGCTGAGAAATTCTTGATATTGTATGACACAAGAGAGTGGTCCCTTTGAAAACAAGCACATGTTCTCATTCATGAAAAATATTTTCTAAGCCTGGGCCCACCCATTGCTTAGCCCTTCCCCAGCTTAATATTTAACATTCTATAGTCTTTGCATTTTTGGCATAGGAGAGTGAATAAAAGGCTACCTGAGCTACTTATTGATAGAGATGAATGAGTCTCAAGTTCTCGTTATATAGGAATCATGGTGATTTAGTACAGGATGGTGATCTGAGGGTAAAGCTGGGATATATGAGTGGATATAGGTCTGAGATCTATTGTGAATTTAACATGGAAACTATTTGCACTTAAAATGAACAAAGGTATATGTTTCTCTGTTACTTCAGGTGCTAAAGGAAGCCTCCCAGATGAACCTCCTGGCCAGGGTGTGGTGGTACAGGCCATTTCAGTACTTTGAAAAGAATGTCCAAGGAATTGTACCTCGCTCTTACCATTGGCCCTTCCCCTGGCCAGTAGTCCACCTCAGTAGGCAAGTTAAATATAGCCGGCTGGTGAACGACACATAACAGCTCTACAAGTGGGGGAAGGAGGAACTGTGTGAAGTGCTAAGAACTCCATGAGAGAAGATGCCATAAAATAAACACCTCCCTTTTCCTGTTATCTTTCAACAGTTAACTTGACTTAACCTATTGAGTTACCTGGTCAGCACTGTGATCTTTTTTTTCTCTCCAAAGGACCTGCGTTGGACAACAATAAAGAAAACCTAACCTATCATGCACTGTACACATTTCCTGTTCATAAGTTTGGGATTTACATAAACTCACAGCCACCATGTTCCTTTGTATATGATATAGCAGCATAAATGTAAGCTTTTTATATCATACGTTCTGGTCTTTCCAGTCATACCTGGAAATAAAGCGTATTATTTTCTTGGGAAAACATACTTTTCGTATCTCTTGCCCCAAAGATTGGGCTGTAAGCCATTTTCTAGCAGATGTCTCTATGAAGGTTTCTAAGTACCTGAATGGGGTTTGATTCTGAAATCTTTCTACCTGTTGCACCGATACTGAAATAAAAATGACAGACAGAGAGAGGTTTAGTTACTTTGGGTTTTGTAAAATCAGCAGAGACAGTGTGTCAATAAGTGCAAAAAAAAAGATTCTGTTATAAAGTGATTTTCTAAGTATTTCCTAACTTTATTTTTCAAAATGATGTTATGAAAACCAAATTAAAGATTTTTACATAGAGAGAAGAGAGTAAAAATTTAAAAATGCTTCTTGGGAGAGAAATTTGTCTATGTTTCTAGTGCCTTTCTTGTCTTGATTGTATGGTCAGTAGGCAATCTTAAATGTTTTTATTTAAAATAAAGTATTCCATGAAAATATAAATGTATGTATACACTACTAAATTTTGCATTTATCGCTAAATTAAATCAGAAGACTGCTTATAGTTTTAAAATTGCTTTGAATTAAAGAATGGGGATGTTAGTTAGAGTCACAGCCTGTTCACATATTGTGAGTAGGTAGCAATGACTTGTACCATTTCAGTTATTTTATGTCTATTTGGTAGTTCAATTTTGACTACTCAATGAAAACAGCCATGAATATCTTTTTTAAAGAGAGTTTTGAAAATGATCACTTACCTAAAACTTGAAAGCTACAAATTACTTATCCCTAGTCTCATGACCATTTTGTTGGTAAACAACAAAAAAAGAGATGCATTTCTTTAAAATATATTTGTGCAGAAACTGCATGTAACTCTGTTTTACTCCTAACATATGTATGTTTGGGGAAGTATTCTACTCTATACTTGCCAATGTGGAGAACAAAATAGTTTTTTAAGAATGAAGAAGTATATATATATATATATATATATATATATATGTATATATATGTATATGTATATAGATATACATATATATATAATATCCATTCTGTATTTTATGTGCAGCAGAATTATCTTCTGTAGGGTTTTTTTGTGTATTCACAAGGTGATATTTGTATTGTAAAACAATAATGGTGAAGGAAATAAAAAGGCTTTTAAAATTTTGTTTGTTTTAAATCTTTGTAAAGTTATTATTCCAGAGAGTATACTGATATCTTACAGCTTATCTAGATCATAAATTAATCAAAATGCACTTTTTAATAAAAAGGATACTGAAAATAAATGGTTGTCATTAGTAATGTGTTCACATTCTTCATGAAGTCATGAATAAAGTCATGGAAGCAAGGTGGAAAACTGAGTTTCAGAACTTCTTCATTGGGTTTGTTTAACATGGGCTTTAGTTCTTATTTCCTTGAGATTTTTGTCTTCAGTACATTCACAGATTGTAGTTTTTGGTATATGAAAGGAATCTCGGCTAAATTCAACACTGGTGGTAAGACTAAATAGATGATTCAACTATGGCTTGCCTAGCAGAAAATTCACACCATGAGGTATGAGATAACTTTGCCAGTTTCTCAATTCTATCTTTTCATTCTATCCAAATTGACCACCATGTTTGATGAGTATTTGATAATCTTGATAAACACTATAAAAATGAAAATACCAGCCAGCCTTAATTTAACTACCATTGTACAAAAAGTTAACCAGGGTTTGAATTAACAAGGAAATATAATATGCTGTTTGAATCCCTTGGTTCGATATCCTTTTTTCTCTCAGTGGTCAGGAAACTACTTTGAACAACTCAAAACTTTTGATATTATGCATAATATAGCACCTTAAGATACTTGTTTCTTGGTTCAGCATATAAATTAGGAAATTAAGTGATCCTGTCATCAAAAGGACCTTGCAAATTAAAAGTAATAGTAGAATGAATTCAATAATTACCAACCGTGTTTGCCATTCTATTTGTTACATTTGTTCTCCACTCATCCATTCCCTACTTCCTTTAGTTTTGAGTATTTCATGATTCTATTTTATACTTTTGTATGCCAGGTATACTTTAAAAAAATTTTTTTAAGCTGGACATGGTGACATATGTCTATAGTCTCAGCTAACTCCAGACGCTTCACCCAGGAGTTCAAAGCCAGCCTGAGCAACAATGAAATCTGATCTCAAAAAAACAGAAAGGAGGAAAAAATACAGAAACAAGGGCTGGGAATGTGGCTTTGTGGTAGAGTGCTTGCCTAGCATGCATGAAGCTATGGGTTTGAGTCCTCAGTACCACATAAACAGAAAAAGCTGGAAGTGGTACTGTGGCTCAAGTGGTAGAATGCTAGCCTTGAGCACAGAGAGGTTCAGGGACAATGCCCAGGCCCTGAGTTCAAGTCCCAGAATTGGCAAAAAAAAAAAAAAAATTAAAAAAGGAAAAGGAAAGAAATAAGAGTTGGGGATATAGCTTGCTTGATGGTAGAGCACTGTACATGCACAGTACTAAACTCATTCCTAGCATGACCAAAAGAGTTTGTTTGCCCCAGAAGTAAGAGTACACATTTATATCTAATCTAAGCCTATCTTAAAGTATAGGAGAAATGTCTTACACCAATGTGTTGCCAATTCTTCCCTTTTGTAAGTCCTTTGTGTCATTGCTGTTACTCATTCTGATTACTCATATGTTGTAATCTAATTTACTATAACTGCTATTACTTTAAAGAGATGTTTTAGGTCAAATTAGAATCAGAAAGATTGAAGATTTTGCTTGTCATGTTTATTCTCTGCTGTACTTGATGTAGATTTAAGTTTCTAAGCTATTTCCTTTGCATTGTGCTTGAAGACGTTCCCATTCCTTACAGAGCAGGTTGGTGATGAATTTCTTCAGGTCTGAGAAAATAGTTCCCTTCGCTTTTGATGGATAACTTCCATGAGCAAAAAAATTGTAGGTTGCTAGGAATTTTCTTCCTGTGGTTTAAATGTTTCACTACGCTTTCTTCTTACATGGTTTCTTGAAAAGTCATGCTGAAATTTTAACCTTGTTCCTCCATAGTTAATGATATTTTTTTGCTTTGGCTTTAGAATTTTTTTTCAAGTTTTTTTTTTGTTGTTCCTGCAGTGCTTTGGTGTAGTTCTGTAATTCTAACGTTTGTCATTAATTTTGCAAAGTTGCCACCCACCACTCACTATTACTTCAAATATATTCTTCACTTTCTCTCTGTCCCTCTCTCATGCTAGGAAGGTCCTCTATCACTAAGCCATGTATTGTACTTTCTTATAGGATATGTTGTACCTTTCAAAATTGTCACATAGTTTTTGGATGTTCATTCTTCTCTTTTACCTTTTGCATTACAAACACACATTTTGGGTCATGTTTACACTACTGATGTGCTAATCAAAAGCATTACTTCTATAATAGTATAATTTCTAGCATTTTCTTTGGCTTCTAAATACTGCCATTTCTCTTTAAATTACTCATGTCTTTCATGTTGTCTGTCTACTGCGGGCATTAACATGTTTTAACCTGGTAATTCTAATAACAGTGCCATATCTGAATCTCATTTTGATTCTTGCTTTGTGCTTTCAGAGTATTTTTTTTTCATGCATTTTGGAATACTTTGTCATTTTTTGTTGAAAGATGGGCATGCTAGGACATAGGAATTGCAGTAAATGGACCTTTTAGTGTATTCTGGGTGGGAATTCTTGCTGTAGTTGTGGTTGTCACAGGTGCCACCTTGCTCTAGTGTATTTCCCTTCTTGGCTGTGGTGGGGTTCCTAGACTCATTCATTCTTGCAGCTGCCCTAGCTACAATCCACTGTTTTTCATGGTGGAACTCTGCTTGTTCAGGTATTAGGTAAGGACAGTGCACTCTAAGTTTTAGCCTTTTACTTTGCTAGGGTTGTACTTCCACTTTGACCTTCACAAGCTGAATAAATCTACCCCTCTTCTTTTCCTGTCTTCTTGATAGCAGCATCCCTAATCTGTTTCCTTAAAGCCTTGATTCCTCTTGACTGTTTTTCTTCCCCTGAAATCAGATGGAGAGACTGGAAGGAGCAAGAGTAGGAGTAGGCCACCAGGAATTTCTCACTGCCTTCAGCGATTCTCAGTAACTGTGTAGCTGTTTGTATCAGCTAATGGCTCTCCTGTCTTCCATTCTGTGTAAGCAGAACTTGGCCATCACTAGATGCACCTGTCTGTACAAATATAGTGGTAATAATTAGATCTGTGACCTCAATTCTGTGATGGGTCCAAGAAAAGTCACATTTTAGTTGACCAAACCTTTTCTTATGGATGAGAAATCACTCTCAAACTGTTGTCTGGTACAAGCTGAAACCAGAAGCCATCTAGAGATACAGTCATAAGTTTTGGAGACAATGAATAAACACTTACCTATAGTCTGTGTGTGTGTGTGTGTGTGTGTGTGTGTGTGTGTGTGTGTGTGTGTGTGTGTGTTACTGAGGTTTGAACTCAGGTCCTTGCATTTGCTACACAAGTGCTATACTACCCAATGCCACCCAGCCCTTTTGTTTTAGTTATTTTTAAATAGGGTCTCAGATTTATGCCTGGGTAAGCCTGAACTATGATCCTTCTCTTTACATTTCCCAGATAGTTGGGATGTCAGGTACATACTACCACACCCAGCTTTTTATTGGTTGAGATGGAAGTCGCCAGACCTTTTTGCCCTGTCTAGCCTAGAACCACAATCCTCCAGTTCCCAGTAGCTAAGGATTACAACCTGAGCCACTTGGAACTGTGAGCATCCTGCCTTTGCTTCCTGTGTACTGGGATTTCACCTTGCCCAGCTCAGGTGTCAGATGTCTTTTAATTGGCATGCATTGGGACTTTGAGACCACTCTGCTTCTTTCATGTCAGTCTTTCCTGTGCTAATGTGCCTTATGATTCTCATAGAGGACCTACGATGAGCTGTATGCAAGTCCAGGTGTCCAGTGAAAATTGATTGCTCTGAAAAGTCTGTGTTCCTGAAGTAACTTAGGGAAAATATGACCTGTCAAGTGACCAAGTTGAAGATGGATCCCTAAAAGCCTTATGGCTCTGATGTGAGCCA